TATGTAATTGTTCATTGAAGCTATATGTTAATAAAAACCAGAGCCATGACCTTACCTTAATATAAAAAAAAAAAAAAAAAGTAAAATCAAAGAATCTTATTTTATTTTTCCGATTTACAATTCAACATTGTAAAATGCTATTTTAAAAATCTTATTTTTGAAATGCGTCACTTATGTGTTAACTTTGAAACCTCAATTACTTTACGTCTATTCTTTTTTGTGAAATTACAATTACTGCTTAGCACGTATAAATATCACCAATGAATAGAAACTCAGATATTATTCATCACTCATCCAACTTAAATTGCCCACCCAACTTAAATCACCCATCCAACTTAATTCTTTAATAATACTATAATTCAATTAACCTACATACTGTTAGTAGTTAATCAATACAAATTCAAATTTCTAGTAAAACTTCTTGCCACAAAAATTCTAACTAAACTCATGTGACAACAACTTATGGTTTGTCTAGTATCAATTATTTGGTGTGATTATCTTCATGAACCTATACAGTTTACTTGTAGGCTGATTACAAGTTATAGCGAAAGCCAACTGCTCCCAGAACCAAAAAAGTACTTTTTATTCTATGTACCTCTGCTAACATATATTAATTTAATCAAATGGCGATTAAAAAGTAAAAGCGAGATGTAAATTGTAGCAGATCTAATGAGAATAAAAAATATCTACGAACTTTAAAAATTTAATTACTTGCTAAGATTGTAGAATTTAAGTAAATAGGTTATATTTTTATATAAATAATGTGATACACGATATTATAACAGTGTTAAAATACTATATAGTATTAAAATACTATCGCTATGAAGTTTAAGGTCAGATTAGTTCTAAAAATAAATTTTATATACGATATAATTTAAAACCCGATTTGTGTAACTGATTTTTTTGAAAACTTGAAAATCGAGTTTTGTTTGATTTTGCCGAGCACTAATTTTACCTCCAGCCAAACTTGAACTGTCAACCTTGTCTATAGGGGGACAGGAGTTTATCCATTAAGCTATAGAACCTGAACCCCAGTATCAATTATTATTATTATTAAAAATATAATTTTTTATACTATAATTTTATATTAATAAAACTTATTTAGTATTAAAGCCCAGATACAACCTGTTTAAGTAGCTAATTTGCTTCATATTAAATTTTTAACTTTATAAAACTTTGGTTTCTTTAATTATAAGTTAGAAATTACTAATCTTGTTAGTTTTATTTATCTTTTTTTATCATATTGGTCTATAAAGACTAATTAAATTTAATATAATACTATACATGCTAACAAAATTATTTTAGATTTCAGGGTATGAAATTAAAATTTGAAAATAAAATTATTTTTGACCTATTTTACTTAAAAGACAAAATTTTTTGATACTTTTTTTGAAGAGATGAAATTATAAAGAATATAACTATCTAAATTAGATTTGCTCTTGTATATAAAAAATTCCAAATTGCTCTAATAGAAATAAAATAGAGTTTTTTTGAAAACCTATTTTAGTGGCATGTATATACAATACTTGATTAGATTTTAGTTATTTTTTATACTAAGTTTAGAATTTGGTTTTTTTTTCTTTTAGGTTTATTTTTTTTTTTGTAATTTTATTTTCTTTGTTTTTTAGATTTTATATTCTTTTTTTATTTTTTATTTTTTTTATTTTTTAATTTTATTTGTGATAGTATTTTTTTCTTCTAATTATATATTTAAAGTTTTAAATATGTTTTAAAAACTTTTATCAAACTTTTTTTAATTATATTAAGCATTTTTTATAATATCTTTCTATTTTAATTCTGCTTCTAATTGTTTCTTTTCTCTTTTTAGTTATAAGACTTCTTATTAAATACTTTTTTGTTTCTATTTTTTTTTTATCTTTTTTAAAAATTAGAATCTTAACTTTTTTTTTACTTATATATCTTTCTTCTTTTTAAAGTATCTTAAAACCTTCTTGATTTGCTTTATTTTTAATAATATTCTATATATTTTAATATTTTATATACTCAATGAGATGATCTATATTCTTTGTTTTGTTTTTGCATATTTTATTTTATAGATATTAGCTTTTTTATACAATATTTAGCTTTATTAAAAAGATATAAATTACTAACTTTTTCTGATAATTACTTGTATTAAATTTTTCTAAAAATAATTACTCTATTCTTTAAATTTTATTAAGTAAATCTATTTTGACTTTTTTCTAAAACTATATTCAATTTTTTAAATTTACTTCTATTAAGTAAACTTCTAATACTCTCTAATATAGCTTATTTACAACTTTATTTTGATATATAATATATGAAAAACAAACTAAAATTCATAAAACTACAATCAAAATATTTTTAAACTCTGTTACAAAAATTATATCTAGTTTTTATAAAAATTTTTTTATTTTAAAGAATACTGTTTCTCTAAAATATTTAAAATCTGCAAATTTATATTACTAATCAATATTACTAATCAATTTATACAACTTCAATTTTTGTTTTATTTATTTTTATACAAAATTTAATTTTACTATTTTAGTTTTAATAAATTTACACAAGCTTTACTTTATTAATACACAATTTATACTATTATACTTAGTTATATCAAGTTATACTAGTTATACCAAGTCATATTTGCTACAAATATCTAAAATTTTGATTATATAAGATACCAAATATGCAAAAGAATCTACTATAGAAAAGCTTAACCCAAGGTACAAACTACTTAATATATATCTGCTTTTTAGTAATTTATATATATAAGATTTATCCATAGCAAGTTTGACTAGTTACAAAACCAAGAATATCTTCTGCTTCAGTCTTAATTCTATAAACAAATTTTAGTATAATTTTGAAACAAGTGATTGTCAGAAAAAATTATTAATCTTTTGAATATTTGATATACTTATTTTCCATTAGTCACCAATGTTTTAAAACAATAAAAAAAGTATAAAAAACTGTTTAAACTATTTTTTTTTTATTATCTCTAGTTAGGTTCATCATTCAAAACTGTGCAAAAAGTTGTTCTAACTTATATGCATTGACATAGTTCATAATACATATTAGTGTGCCCAGAATTAGCAATATGCCCAGAGGTAGCAATGTGAAATTATTTCTCAAGGCATATTTAATAATGATAAAATTATACACTATCTACTAGAGTGTAATGAAGTATATACGTACGTATGTACTTACTACGTATGACTATAACAAGTGGAAATACTAAATAGGTTGGATTAATCTAAAAGTTAGAACCACCTAAGATTTTTCTACTTGTTTAACCGGTTAACAATGATAACCATTTAATTTAGCCGGCATTAAAATAATTCTGGCCCACAACCAACATAATTCTGCTCGGAACTATAGAACAATTGTTAAATGATTAAACGGTTCCAATCCCTAAATTAACCTACATACAAATAAACCCAGAAATCAAAAATATGGGTTCATTGACGTCCCAAAAACAAGTATTGCAGCATCATGCGTTTTTCTCAGCTGTTTTATTTTTATCGTTATAATTGATAATTATCATATCCACCGGTTTGATTTTTATAAATATTTTTATAATAATAACTTTCGATATATTGATTTATTTTTAAATCATTTTATTACCAAAATATTTTTCATAACGAGCCCAAAATCATCCAAATCCGATAACGATAACCTCCCAAAACCGATACAGAACCTGTCCATCATGCATACCGGTTTTGAGAGGGCCGACAGTAGTATATCCTTGCCAAAGTAATCTATTATCTATTATATAGTATACTTGCCAAAGTAATCTATTAGTTCCAATTTTTCTGTATCATGATGAATGCGAACTTGTTTCTGCAAAAAAAAAATAATAATAATCGTATGATTTTTTTTCCATATCACTATGAATGCAAAATTTTCTTTGCAAAAAAAAAAATAAAAATAAAAAAGAAAGATAAAAATAAAAATCGTATGATTTTTTTGACATTACCTAGACTCAATAGTTCTACATATAAATTATATAAATTAGAGTGAATTTTACTTCATGCTGATTAGCTTAAATTTTTACAAAACATGGCTTCAGTTTTTGATCAATTAAAACAATGGACCACTATCGTTACTGATTCGGATGACTTTGAGTGTGCGTATTATTAATCATTATCTTGCCTGCAGGCTCATATGGGACTGCCTACAGCAAAAGCAGGGGTGGGACTATATAATATATAGTCCCATCCCCTGCTTTTGCTGTGGGCGTCCCCATATAATCATGGCCTTTTTTTCTTCGGCAAGGTTATACCAAATTCGATTATGTAATAGACGATAACATCGATATTGCACAAAATTTGTTTTGTCAGAATAAACGGTTTGCCGTTATACGGCATACTTATGATAACTTTATCTAAATAAATTAATAAAAATATTGCTACTTTTAAATACATAGACATTACTCAATACAAACCACAAAATGCAACTATTAATCCTTCATTAATATTGGAAGCATATAAAGACCCGAAATATGATTATTTAATTAATTCCGCAATAGAATATGCAAAGGGGAAAGAAAGGTAATAATCATTTAATATATAAATTATCTTTTATAATTTCGAAATTAAATCTTTTTAACATTTATTAGATTCAATGAGAAAATAATCGAATTGGCTGCTGATAAATTAGTAATTTATTTATTTTTTTTTTTAAGCATTCTTTATATTAGCAATTTAAAACCAATTCATAAAACTATTCTATTCATAATTTCATATTTTATAGTTGATAGACTTAGTCTTTGAAATTCTTAAAATTATTCCAGGCAATATATCAGTAGAAGTGGACGCAATCCTTTCTTTTGACACTGAGGCAACGGTCGCTAAAGCTAAACATCTAATTGCTCTTTGCGAAGAAGTTGGTGTTGATAAGTCACGCGTCATAATTAAGATTGCTTCAACCTGAGAAGGAATTCAAGCTGCTAAAATACTTGAAAATGAAGGAATTCAATGTAATATGATCCATCTTTTCTCTTTTACTCAGGTAAGCTTTTTTTTTTAATCTTATTATTCTCAACATCCCATTTAATATACTATAATATCAAACCACTTTTTAAAATTAATTTATATAGGCTATTGCTTGTGCCGAAGCTGGTGTATCTCTAATATCTCCATATATTAGCCGAATGCTTGATTGGTATATGAAAAATACTAACAAGACTTATAAATCAAACGAAAATCCTGGTGTTTTATTTGTATCCGAAGTTTATAAATATTACAAAAAATTTGGTTACAAAACCATTGTAATGGGTGAGAGCTTCCTTAATACGGGTGAAATTGAAGAATTATCTGGTTGTGACGTTTTGTCAATTAGCCCCACGTTATTAAACAAATTACAAATCGGTTATAAAAAAATAGAAAGGAAATTGTGTCCAGATGCAGGTATGTTTTAAATATTATTATTTGTTATTATTATTAGATGTTTATATATAATCTTATATTTATCTTTGGGAATAGCACATAATTATTTAGGATTCAAAGTCAATTACGACAAAAATTCTTTTAAATAGAAATCCTATGGCTACTGGAAAATTGGATGAAGGTATTAGGTCATTTGCTAAAGACAATAAAACTTTACATTTAATTTTAAAGCAACGTTTGACTAATGAAGATCAGAAAATTTTTGAAAGAATTTCTGAAAATTTCCGAGTTTTTGTTTTATAATTAGGCTTTTTTTGTCTTAGAACATATGAGCTAGGTGCTGGAAAAAGGGACGAAATTGACGATTTTTTCAAAAGGAATTTTTTTTACATAAGTCAATTTAAAATAAGATTAAGAAGTAGTTGTATTAATAAAATTTTGCAGTATAGCTCTTTAAAATTTTCATTTTCTTATGATTTATTATTAAAATTTATCACATGATTTTCCGAAAATCTTTTTTTTTTTGTCAATTTCGTCCCTTTTCTCAACACCTAAGCCCATATTATATATCTCAATAGTTCAAATAATTAATATATAAAGTATAATTTATTGTATGCTTAGTTTTTGGAATATATTATGTAACACATCATTGCGTAATTTATACGTATAAATATTTTTACGGAGTTTTCGTGTGATTAGTAAATATCTCTAGTAGATTAAAAATGTCATTTCGTATGCAATCCAAAACCTGTAATTCCAAATTAAATCTAAACTGTAAAAAATAGAAATTCTTGGTTTGCAAATAAAAAAAAAATAAAAAATAAATAAATAAATTCGTTATATTATAACCAAGAATATACTTGCTGTTCAAATCTCAAACTATTATAGTTTGTCACGTCCAAATTCCAAATCCCAAATTCGAGCTAAATTAATCTCTAAAAAACTTTATTAATAATCTTTATCTAACAAATTAAATATATTCTTATATTGAATATATTTACAAAGTATCAAAACCATTATTTTTTTCATTTAATTTTTTATAAATAGCAATTGTTTTGGGAGGGTTTAGGCCAATTTTTTGACGAATAGTTACGCAACCAAAATTTAGAAATGCTTAGGGTCTGGATTTACACATGCGGCGAGAAAAATTGAAAATCAATTGCCCGGTACTAACTTGTACTTTTTTAGTGCGTAATGTTTTTCATTGATATATCATTGCAAACTTTATTTACAACTTTAGAAAAGCGTTAACTTTTTTACTGTACAATGTAACGCCCGATGATCAATTTTATAGTAAAATACATATAAAATCCTTTTTAGGAAATTTTGTTATTAGAAAAAAAAACTCGAATTTTTTTAGCCCCGGTGAAAATTATACGTCATAAAATATAAATATCAAATTTTCTAATCATATAAAATTAAAAAATATTTATTATTAAAACTTTGATTTTTAACAATTTTAAAATTTTGAATTTTTATTATGTTTTTACTATGTAAATTTTGTAAAATTTAATTGTAAATTTCGTGTTATATTAAAACTTATATTTTTTTATAATAATAATTTTTTATTTTATATTACCTTTAAAATATAATAGTAATGCTATTAATAATTATAGTTAAATTTTTTTAAAAAAAGATTTTGAAATTTTATATTTAATTTTAAAGTCAAATTTACAAATTTTATATGTTTTACATATAAAATTTTGAATTGTAAACTTCATAAATTAAAAAAAAATCAACCCAATTTGTTTAGACCGATGAAACTCATATATTATAGAATATAAATATTGAATTTACCAATCATATTAAGAAATTTTTCTTTAATAAAAAAAAAATAAAAAAAATTAACTTCTATATATTATATAAATTTCAATTTTTTTTATGTTTTTACTATAAAAAAATTATCGGGCGTTCCTTTGTTCCCCACTGTACAAAAGAATCTTGAAAAGCTTTCAAACCCGATATACTTAGCTTAGAAACAATTGCTTATTAGACCGTTCAACAGAACAAAAGTATGTAATTAAGATCGTTTTTTTAAACTGTTTTATTATATCAGATATCGAATTTAATATATAGTTATTGACTGCTTCGCATTCATATGATTTAGCAGATCTTACGGCATACACGTTCTTTATAATCACAAAGAGAGCTAAACCAATTTAGTTTTAGTCTAAATTCTTGGCATAATGATTGTGAGAAATTAGCATTTGATAGTCTAAATAATGATTGTGAGAAAAAAATCTAATTAGCATTTTGATAGTCTAAATAATGATTGTGAGAAAAAAATCTAATTAGCATTTTGATAGTCTAAATAATGATTGTGAGAAAAAATATTATTAATTTAAGTAAATAAAAACAAAATTCGATCATATTCACATGATTTACGTGTACGTATATGTTTAACTGGAACAATGGCAGTAAATCTTTTTTTGGATCCGGCGTAAAAATATTTAAAAATATAAAATATTAACTCGATGATATATTTTTAGAAACATTTTCTACTTAATGCAGTAATGAACAGCTGTGATTTATTAGTACGTAGAATTTTTATGCAGTATCTAAGTTAATGTACTTCTTATTTCATGAATTGTTACTCGGCTAGAAAAGTGTCGCAATGTAAGGAAATGCAGCTTGCAGTTTATCTAATCAAAAATTAACAGTGCTTGTAACGCCAACATTATGGCTTACTTTATTTTATTTATTGTTGTTGTACCTGAAGTTGCAGCTTCAGGGTTATTACGATAATCGATGTAATCATCAAATTGTTGAAACTCAAGCAAAGCTGATATCAACCCAATTTTTATTTGGATACACTAATTTTCGTAGTAATAAACCAAGGTCCAAAGTTTCTCGAAAAGGAGGGTAATTATTTTTGAATTCAGACCAACGTCATATATAAAATTGGCCCGGGTTCAAAAATAATTACCCAGGATCATTAAAGATTTGTAGCCGACCTACATAGGCTTATCAAGTTTCATTGTTACCGTATTATCGTATTACATAGTAACCCCTCATCTATAATTAACTGATAATATAGTATATGAGTGACAGGAAAGAAAAACTTGTAAATTAATTAACCATCGTTCATCTTATCGGACTCAGCCCCGTAAAATTAATCCTGTAATGATTCTAGTTGCTTCGATAAGATGTGTTTGATATCCAACGATTTTTTTTACCTCTTAAATAGATAATAAATATGTTCAAGAATCAGATTCGTCAGGGGACTATGAAAATTAATGAATCAATTCACAAGTTTTCTCTCTTCGTCATTCATCTATTTTTAGTTTGATAAATTTTTGGTTGGAAAACATTGTTGCTATCATCTGTTTTGACCTAAGTATATTAATCTATCTAAAATTAGTTTAAGGTATCTTCAGTCAAAAACTTCTTACGTAATTATAAACTTAAAAATGTTACCACAAAGTGTATCGCAAGGGATGTCAAACTTAAAATGTTTAACGTACGCACGAACCTAAAAAATTTAAGGTTGGTTAGTTTCTATCTTTAGTTAAAATTATCAAGATATAACAGGTTACCTACACGTTGGTCCTTCAATCGTATAATTTTTTTGTACTCAATCACAGGAATGAATTTATTATATAAATAAAAAAAATATATTTATTAGATCATACGTCAAATCTATTGTAGTTTATTCTTGAATTACTATAATACAGTAATAGGGATATCACAACCAAGAAATCGAACAATTGCATATACACAAATATAGAAATCTATATATTTATTCAATATATGCCTTAACGTCCTTACACAATTAATCATATAGAAAGAAAAAAAAAGTAATTAAATATTATGTTATTATGTGGAATAATATCATGGTTTACAAAAAGTTAATGGACCATCTACTGTATGTTCAAACAAGAACTTTGATAAATGTAGTTAATCTAAACAGTAATATGTCGTCATTTATGATAACCGTGAAATTAATTCATTGACGTACTGATCAAAGAGAGGAACACTCTCTTGAAACTTGGATCCACAAAAAGGAAAAGCATCGATTTCATCGATAGGTATTTCACCCTCACCAACAACCCCTTCGTCGTCACCCTCACCAACAGCCCCTTCATCGTCAGTAACAACGATATTTTCGACGGAATTTTCATCGTTGTCTTCGATGTTATTAGAACTTTCATTGACCGAATGTTCGTTTTCGACGTTACTTGAGCCTTCGATGGTTGAATCAGTGATAGAACTTTCATCATCTTTTTTGATGGTAGTGACCGAATCAACTTCGTTTTTGACGTTATTATTGGAGCTGCCCGCAGTAACCATACTTTTGTCGCAGTTTTCAATATGATGATTTGTTTCGTCGTTTTCTGCTGCTTGGTGATTATAAGAGGTCATGGTATCCTTTTTGTTTGTTTAAGCGTAAATAATGAGGAGCGTAAGGTATTGAGGGATTTTTTTTTTTTCCTTATTATTTTGTTCGTTTCTTAATTTTGTGTTTTAGAGGTTTTTTTTTTTATTATTTTATTCGTGTTAAAGTTTTGCGTTATTATTTTCTTAATTCTGTGTCTTAGAGGTTTTTTTTTTATTATTTTATTCGTGTTAAAGTTTTGCACTATTATTTTCCTAATTTTGTGTCTTAGAGGTTTTTTATTAAGAGTAAACGTCAAAAAGAAAGACCCCTAAACTAATCGAA